TTGGTTGCCAAATAAGTTGACAGGTGCCGACAAACTGCAATGCACAGGAGCTGCACTGACATTTTTGAAACACTAGCAGATAAATGGCAACAAGTTCTTGGCTCATATTTTGACAGAAGATGAGACCTGGGTTTCCTATGTAATACCAGAGAATAAACAGCAATCCTTGCCATGGTGAATCAGTATGCTGCCACCACAGAAAAAGTTCAAGCAAACAATGGGCTGTATTTTTGTCACTTATCACTCATCTCTTCTTTAAGAGATAAACAATGTCAATATGAAATATGAATCTTGTCTTTTGGAGGCAAAGACAATTCTGGTCATTTGTAATTATTGTGTCATTGCAGTTGACACCACAATTCTACTAGGCTGATTATACATGTTCAGGTTATCTGCATGGACAACACAATAAACTTGTAAAAGTTTTGAAAATGAAAAAGAATTATAGAACACATAGTAAAGAAAGCACAAGATTCAAGTAAAACATGTGGCTTTAATAAATATATGTTTTTATTTTGTCTTGTAAGGTTTTTATGAATTGTAAAGTTAAATAACTTGGCTAATGTCATCTCTCAATAAATAGAAATTTTGACAACTGAGTTGGAAAAGCATTAGATACTTACTTTAAAAGAAATTAGATGTTAATATTTTGAAAAATACTTTAAGACAGATAACTTGAAATAAAGGCAGGATTAATAGCATATTCAATGGTTCAGTAATTAATGTACAATCATTGAAAATGATGGAATTACTGGCATTCCTGAGTGAAATGTAAAACAGTCTCTTAAAAAAAAAAAATGAAAAGCATTATCTATAGCTCAAAATACTCTTTCCTGAGAGAGTGTGTGTTCTCTAATATGATTATATAGTGCAAGTAGCATACAGTCATCCATAAAAATCACACCTTTAAAAGATCCAGCAATTAAATTTAATAAAATAATAACATTTTCGATCAGCTTCACTGACCTTCAGTTACATTAGAACAGAAAACTGGAACTTGAATTCAAAAATTTTTAAATGAGAACAACAATACTAAAATAAATAACTGCAATCATAGATGAGATTAATAAAATAAATAACAACAGAAATAAAATAAAAATAAAAAGTAAAAATAAATNTTTACAATGGCTTCTCTTCATTACCATATTTATCTTTCTTGACGTGATTTGATTAGAAATATCCCTAAATTAATTTCAACTTAGGGATGTCAATTTTCATCTAGGGATTTAATTATAATTTTGGAGAAATAAATAAATATCCCTTAATAAAATTAAATTTCATAAACAGACTGCCATGCAGTAGACAAGTTGTCCACATCTCTACGGTTGATGCATCTGGATTTTTTGTGAGCTTTATAAGTTTCCAATTTTTCTAGTGGATGTTTCCTCTGAAGGGATTTTTTAATGATGTTATACCTTTACCGTTATGCGAATACTTTCCTTCACAAATTTTGCATTTAGCACATTTTATATTAGATGTGTATATTAGATGATGGTTGCCTGCTCCCATTGTACTTGTATGTCTCGATGTTGTGAGTAAGCTGACAGCATCGTATTATTGAGATTTTTATCAATTGTGTACTTATGTTCTTTGAGTCATTGTTGTAAATTACACCCATGTAGATCAGTTTTGATTTGAAATGTTGGTCGATTATCGGGATGGATTAATCCCTGTGGTTGAATTACAGTTATATGGTTTCTTATCATTCCTTAAAATTCTGAAGATCATTGGATTGTGTCTATATACTACTGTGACCGTTATTAGCTCTGACCACTTTCCTATGTATCTTTCTTAAACATGGGCTATAATTTAAAATTCTTTTGTTTCTGGTCTACCAATCTCTTTGTTTCTGGTCTACCAATGCATGTTGATGTTTTGATGTTTGAAAGGTTGCAATCAACTTCTGTATTATTTTTATCAGATAACCCTATTGCTCTGCAATTTTTAAGATGTAATTCAGCTCCATTACAGTGTCCTGGATGCTGATACAATGATATGCCCTTCTTATCAAAGATCTAAAGGCCACAAATTTGATGTGGCAAAGATCAACAGAGTTATATGGATTTAAAATAGGTTGAAAACATGGTTTCCTGTATACCTTGGTCCAAATTTCTTCATATTTGCAAGAGATGGAAATACCAAAAAAGTTTACTGTTGTTTCATGCTCCTGGTCTAATTGTAGGAGAAATCCATAGGGATTATCATTGATTGCTTTTAAAAACTGCTGCAGGTTTGGCTTTCTTTACCACAAGATGAAAATGTTGTCAACATATCTAGCTGTAAGATGATCAAGCGTTGGAATTTGGGCAGAATGTTGTTTTCTAATTGTTGCACTACCAGTTCACAAAGTATTGCTGAAGTGGGACTGCCCATAGGCACGCCTCTTCCTTGTAAGTATACCTGGTTGTCAAATTCAAAGAATAATGTATAACATACAAGATGCAAAGTTCTAGTCATTCATACTGGATATAACAAAATTGAAGTTCTAGATAAATTTAACTATGCACTTGTCTCTGAGAGAAAAGACATCCAGAATTGTGTCTGGGGGGAAGTGAGAACTCTCAAGATATAAACAAATGTTTAGCCAATCAGCGATCAGCTTATGACATAGACACTCTCTCAAAGACAAGAGACAATGACTAGAATACAGTACCATGTCTGCCAGAAAGCTCGTGTGTAGTTTTTTGGGACAAATGGGAAATTTCCAAAAATCATCATAATCACTCAACATTTACAGTGATAGGAAAAACAAAACAACTTTTTCAGGTTCAATCCTAAGATCTACTGTATAATCATAATTATCTAATGAATAGATTATTTCTTGTTCTCATTTGTCAACTTTTGTTAGAAATTCACATAATTTATTTGAAACAAGTTGTCCATTTGTGCACAAAATTTTTTAATGCATCATCAGATTCTTATAAAATGCATTTGGACTCTTACTCTCCTATAAAACTGATTTAAAGCCAATTCAGATTGCATTAAATCAATTTATAGATCTCTGTGGCGTAATAAACACTAGTATTGTGTTTTATTCTAAAGACACATGGCAAATTTTCCATCAAGTTCCTTTATTCGTTGAATAAAGGAACTTGAATAAAATTCTACAAAAAATACGTTGACGACATTTTAATAATATATGACGAAACAGAAATTAAAATAGAAGATATTCACAAGCAGACAAATAGTATACATAAAGCAATAAAATTTAAAATAGAGACCGAAGATATAACAAGACAAAGCATTAACTACCTAGATATTACAATAACAAGATTAAAACATCATCTGGAATATAGAACATTCAAGAAACCGAGCTCTAACCAAGTAACAACAAGATATCAATCAAAAATTCCGTCATACATTAAATATAATATATATAAAATGGAATACGACAAAATCATAAACCGGACAAGCCAAGAAGCACATATAAACGAAGATCTAATGGAATTAAGGAAGAAGTTTCTTTTAGCAGGATTTCCGCAAAGATTACTAAAACAATGGGAAACCAGAATTAAAGACCCCAGAAACCTATGTAAAAATAAAGATAAACAAGTAACTAAAACAAAATATATTAACTTTCCATATATTAGAGGTTTATATGAACAAATCAGCGCAGAAATAGAAAAAATAAACTACAAATTAGCACCATCATATCAAAAAATGGAAAGCAGACTGTTAACCACGAACCAGAAGAAAAACCAGCAAATACCGATCGAAAACCAAGGTGTAGTATACAAAATTCCGTGTACCTGCGCAAACAAAAAACATTACATAGGAGAAACAAAAAGAAAAGTAAAAACTAGACTGAAAGAACACATAGCAGATCTTAAATACAATAGAATAAATTCTGCATTTTACGAACATTGTACTATAAACAACTGTAATATAGATAAAGATAATGTAGAAATACTGCATAAAGAAAAATTAACGTACAACAGAAAGTTTAAAGAAACCATAGAAATCATGAAAAGTAAAGACAGTATAAATAAAAACTTAAGTCTTAAAATAAACGAAAACTGGATTAATATATTATAAATAATATCTTTATAATAATAATTTTTTCCTTTTTTTCTATCGAACGTCATACATGGCAACACTTAAGACAACAGCGCATAAGAAAAAATACAAAAAGGGGGTGGAAGGTAAAAAGGGGGAGGAAACAGTTCAAAAATTTTTTACAGTTTGTAGTATCGAAATATGCTTATAAGAGAAGTTTTTAGAACTTTTAACCTTTTAATTTATTTATAATATATATACTAGTTATACAAAGATTAAAGCAGATTTTACGTTTTTAAATTATAAAAAGTGTAACAAAAGGTACATCTATATATCGTTTATGTACTCATTTTATGTAAACTCTCTACTGTTATAAGTTAAATATATATATTGTATTTTAGTTGACTGAAGAGGGGCAAAGCCCGAAACGAGTAAAAAAACAATGTACCATATCAACGAATAAAGGAACTTGATGGAAAATTTGCCATGTGTCTTTAGAATAAAACACAATACTAGTGTTTATTACGCCACAAATATAAAACAGGACACGGTTTCAAAAAGAAAATTATAGATCTCTAATATATGTAGGTATATATATATATATATATTGATGTGATATAGGATAGATAAACATCAATTGTCTAAAAATGTCGTGATAAATGTTATTGAAACAGAAACCGATTTTATATAACTTTGGTTTTTATGTATATTTTAAAGATAATTATTATTTACACAGTAATAAGTATCAAATGTAACCATATAATTTAAGCTCTTACGTAGAAATGAAAGTGAGTCTAATGTATTAATTAAAATCTTTTAATCTGAATTTCTCCCCAAGACACAACAATTTCATCATCAACTATAGTTTTCACGTGAGCAGCATATGGATACTTACATAGAATTATAGAATTACATATATGCTCTTTTTAAAATAAGAAGCTTTAAGGATGATATTAAGTCAGCTTTACACATTAAATATACGAAAATTTTTATAAGAAACTTACTTTTTTCAAAAACTCCGAATTTCTTTACAAAAAGACCACGTTCTCATCCATGTAAACTAGCGCCCTCTGCACTTAAAATTTTGATTATGACAAAGATACTGTAATTATGAAAAGTGATAAATTTTCAAAATTTTCGAATTACATTAAATATTAATAATAAATTATTATTATCTTAATAATTGAAATATAAATAAATAAAAAAGACAAAATCTTTTAAAAATTATATTTGAAATTTCCAAGTGGTTCGCATCAAGTCCTTGGGTTCGTATCTTCGATAAAGGTCATATTTTCAATATCGTCTTTTTATTAATTTCACCAAAACATTTTAATCGATAACGTGTATCGTGTAGGAATTAGTTTTTTGTATATTCTTTCTTACCTATGAAAGCAGAAAGAATTTCGGAATTGGTCCGACCCACAACGATGTAGCCGGACGAAACAACAGATCTGCCATATTTAGATAAGATTTCACGGGAAAATTTCCGAGAATTCAATCCAAACTCAAACCCCTTTGAATTATATTTCATGAGAGTATTATATCGGATAATCGTAATTAAACTATTTCAATTTATGCTGTATAAATAAATAACTAGCAGTCCAATGACCTAACAGTGGCGGAGTGGATAAAAGTACTGAACACTGGTAGTTGGTTCGCGCTCGCTAACGGGCTGGCTACGGGAGTTTTCTGTGTTGTCTTCATGTAACAATTAAATAGAGACCAGTTTCCTATAGAAAGTTCTCACGGAAAGTATCCTCTTAGCAGATTATCCATGAGTCGTGTTGCTGTATACAAATAACAAGAGTGCAAACTCGACCAAATTTCATTTGCTGACATTTCCGGCCATTCGGGAGATTTTAGGAAAAAAAAAATTTGGTTTCAAACTTACTCTTACTCTACGAAACTTCTGGCTCCGCGACTGTCAAAAAAAAAAAAAAAAAAAAATACGCAGCATATTTAAGAGCTATTCGGTAAAAAGCTCTTAAGTCAGAAATTCACTTTTTGGTCTGTATGTCAGGCTTATCACATAAAATCCGAAAATACACACACGCTTCAGCACTAAAAACTTATTAAAGCCAACGTTTTTAAAACCGTTAAACGTCTTAATTGTAATAGTTTTAAAAATTCGGGAGGGGGTCGTTTAGTTTTCCGAATTAGTGCTATACCGATAACAGAAATACCGCTGTATCAATCCGAAACCAATAAATTTTTACAATATCGATATTGATATTTTAGATTTCAGAATGTCGTTAAACAATCATTAGTTTCGGTTTGCAAGTCAGCTAGTGCAGTGCGATACATCGACACTTTTCGCTCTAGAAGCATCGACTCTGATTTAATTGACAGATCGAAACATTGAAAATAAATCAATGTTTACCACAATCTTGTTCCCAGTTGGGCAGGTTTCATTCGAATTGAGCTAGTTTTGAGAAACTGCTGCGAACTACGGTTTTTTAAAGATATGCTTTTAGAGTAAAGATACGGTGGAATTCTGCAAAATTTCCGTGGAAATGGACAGGACCAAACCGAAATTACAACGTGCAATTCGAAAACGAGAATGAATGGAAACAATTAACAGAAACACCGATGATGATGTATCGGTACTGTATTTGCAATAATATGATGTATTAGAAAATATTATTGTCAAAACAGACTCTTGAATTCTTCTACATTAAAAAAAAACTATTGAATCAATATTGTATAAAGCAAAATTACTATAAAAGCGATTTTTCGAAAGCAATGAACACGTGCAATCTTGCTTTACCTATAGTACAATATTGTGCATAGAGTTTGTTTTACTGTGCATAGTAAGTATGCACAGTAAACAAACATCGACGGCCGGATGGCCGAGCGGTCAAGGTGGCAGCCTACCGCTTCGACTGAAATAATTAAATCCTAAATATGCGGCCGGATGGCCGAGCGGTCAAGGTGGCAGCCTACCGATCTGGGGACCTGGGAACGAATCCAGACGGGTCGAACAATCCCCCAAAATCTTTCGGTGGTGGTCCATCCGAATATGTCGAGCCCCGTCCCTCACCACCCGGTCGCCCCATTGTGGGGCTGGCCATACCCATAATGGGCTTGCAAAAAAGAGTGCGCACAGGGGAAGAGTCCTCTTAGTGCCCACAGGGCGGAAAGAGTTAAAAAAAGTAAACAAAGATCACAGAAGGTCTTATTCTAAGAATTTTTTTCCTACTGCACAAATATCAGTTTTGTTTTGATCAAACCGATAAATGTTAATGTTAATAAGCTGTTCTAAAACATAAATAGAAAATAAAGACGATAACATAAATCTTATATCTGTGTAATTATTTATTGATTTCAATCATTGTTCAATCTTAATCGTTAGACAATATACAGTAGATCCTGCGTTAACCGAAATCTCATGTCATAGAATATTTTTTCCCGTTTGGCAAGTTTCCGTTTTGAACAGGTTCTTTTTTTAATGGATAGATCCAAATAACGTTCCTTACATGCAGGTCAGAAAAAGTCTTAGCTGAAAGCGAATGTTTGTTATATAACATGTATGTAAAAATATAATACAGTAGGCCCCTATAACACTGTAGATAATTCCGTGTTATATGAATTCCACGTTGTACGAGTCACTTAGATTTTACAAATAAGTGAGCCGTTCACAGCCCGGCATACGTATTTGAAAAATCTAAGTGACTCGTATAACACTGAATTCATATAACACGGAATTATCTACAGTGTTATAGGGGGAGTCTACTGTATGTATAATATATAGCCTATATGTAAGTATATAATATAGGACTTTCCCATATTATATATTTTGTGTACTCAAGTATTGGTATCGTGTCAAATTTGACCCTCCGAGTGTTTTGTAAATCATGTTTTGAGCCCCTGAACCCAAAACGTAAAAAAATTGGAAAAAATTCCATGGATATGTATGTATGTGGGTGGATGGGTAGATATGTGTGCATTGGATATGTGACATATTTCGTTTAATATCTCAGGATTGGATAATGATTAAAAAACGATATTTGGCATGGTAGCTTGTGTATAAAAGACATTAATGCTATTAAATTTTGGTGGTTAAAGATCGAGGGAGTGGAGAGAGAGGGGAGTGATATGTAATATCTCGAGTAGAGTGGACGTAATAACGAATTTACTCGTTGTTAGAATTTACAACTTTTTATAAAATTCGTTTCTACCTGAACATTAAGCGTTTTGCTATTGTGTGATAATTAATAATATAAAAGTTAGTTTCAGTAAAATTTCATAACAGATGGCACCACGTACAATTTTAAATTTGTTTGCAAGTTATGCAATTCGTTGCTAGATTTTTTTATATAGAGTAAATTACATTTTTCTCCAGGATCAGCAGTTCCTTCAAGGTACGCAGGGTCATCAGTATGCGTACCTCGGGGGCAAAGGACATGCAGTAAAGTTGATTTTCTTAACCATTGTTGAGTTGCAATTTGAAAAACTGTAGATCAATAAATTCCCACTGTCTGTCCTTCCTTAATCTCGAGAACAGAGTGAGATAGATGAAAGCATAATTAAAAATTGCAGCCCGGTATTATGACGATGTCACAATAAATAATTACTCGTCGAAATGTAGCTTATTTCTGATACTTTGACTTTTCCTGAATTAATTTTCTTTGAACCAAATAAATACCCAAACTAGTGACAGTAAATTCAAAACTTGTCGGACCTTACGTGTTGCTGGATCACGTATTGCCGGATTAAGGAGATTCAATATGTATTTATTAGCGAGGTTGCGGCTGAAGTTTTCAACGCAAAAACGTCAACGTCGGACGTTCAGCGCCGCCTTCTTGTAAGTCTAGAAGTTTGACAATGACGTTTGGAACGTCAGTGGAATCATGATCGACGTTCCAAGCGCCATCGTCAAACTTCTAGGCTTACAAGAAGGCGGCGCTGAACGTCCGACGTTCACGTTTTTGCGTTAAAAACTTCGGCCGCAACCTCGCTATTAAACCTCTAGTTTCTACTTTTTTTCAAGTTTTCAGTTTAAACGGGGGTAAAATTACAGGTAATTTAAACTTGATATGGCTAAATTAAGCATTAGTACTCAATCGTCACATAAAATAAGTCTAATATACAGTAGTTATAAATTACCTAATTATTTTTATAATTTTCAAGTTGATTCACTTAAAAATTATAAAAATAAACGTATAAACATTGATTCATTACCAAACATTCGACTCGAATTTTATGAATTCATTTTAGAGCCGTTCTATCCTATGTGAATCCACGTAAGTATGACTTTCTTACATAATATTTTAATACAGATTGATACGTTATTGTCATATTTACTATCATTCATTCATGAATAAAAAAAACTCGAATTCGAAATACAGTTGAAGATATTACACCATAAATCCTTGCTTATCTATTCTACTCTATTGTTGACAAATGATAAGTAGATCGAAGCGTAACGTATAACGTAACGTCGACGTCGCATATGTTGAAACCAGCATTTAAAATATACTTTCCGTTATAAACCATTTTGATAAATAAATAATATAGAAAAATATTGTTACAAAGAATTGCTTTAAATTACAAAAAAGTAGGGAAGATTGTGAATAAACATAAAACACTGCACACACACACACGCAAGATGGGAACAAAAATCTCTCCCTAGCTAAATATTTCAAAAACTAATAAGACAGTCACTGTAGATCTTTTGCCAATGAATGCTATGTTGGGCATTTGGGCATGCACTAAATCAGGGGTGTCCAACCCGCGGCCCGCGGGCCGCATGCGGCCCAATAAACGTGTAAACAAAACCGACAAATTTTAAATTAAATTAAATTTATTTATTTAAACGGCATAAACTCAAAAAAGAAGTTTCACAAAGCCGTAAATCTTTATATGTATTTTACTTTTGAGTCGAAAGGAAATATTTTCAAATACTTGGAAATGTGTGAATGAGGAAGGAATACTAAATAAATCTAAAGTTGAGACTCGAAGAATTATAGTCCCAAATTCGAGGAAAGGAGAGAAAGGCCAAAAGATAAAACGTAGTGAGAAAGATTAAATAGACTTTCTGTTATGCAAATATGGACCCTTAATTTTNTGGTTTATATTCAAAGTTTTATAGACAAATTAACTTAATTATGAAAACTTGTAAAAAAATTCAAATTTTTATGTTCAACAAGAGGGTTTCTCTTTAAACTTTTAAGATAATTCTTTTATTTCCTTTTAAAACGGAGAAAATATCTTAAATATTGTGTCACGCATCTTAATTCTATTCTATTCAAATGAATTTTTTTCACTTTTATCCTCCAAAAACCACATACTTATTTGAGAAAAAAATTCAGTAATAAGTTGCTTATCTCCTCACCCTCTCGACCTTTAACCACCAAACTTCCTTGCAAAATTTCAGAAATTTTCGACAAAAAACACAGAAGTTATTATGCTTCAAATGGAAAAATTTTAAAAATAAATTGAAAAATATAGAAATTTGATATCTTTATATCCAGTCAATAGATATAAATAAAAAATTTTCAAATATTTATAAATGAATATTCGAAATTTGATTCAAATATTTTATTTAATAATATAAAATAATATATATTTTTTAATTTTGAAGAGGATTCTGTATAAATCTAGAAATTATCTTTAATTTCGTACAAGGTCAGTAAGAATATTATAACCTTGTTTTTTCCACAGTAATGACTGGAGAAAAATAAAAAAGTTTCAAAATCAAGAACAATGAAAATTCATAAATTAGGTTAACGAATGCTAATTGAAGTATATTAAAGGTAAAACATTTTTAACAAGTAAGCACTTTATTGTGTAATATATTTTCAACCTCATTTTCTAATAATAAGAAAATACTTTGATATATTTATGATAAGTAAAATTTATAGTAAGCAAAATTTGTAATATAAATTCAGACATTAAGTAAAAAAAATATTTTATTCCTTCAGATTTATCTAGTAATAATGTTCCCGATTAACAGGTATTTAACCATTTTAATAATTTAACAATTAAAAAAAATTGTAAATATATAATTAAATTAAATAATTATATAAAGCTTAAAAGAAAATCGATCATAAAAAAAAAATTTAAACAATTATTTATTTGATAATATCTAATAAGTTTTCATACTAACTTTCACAATACTATTGTTCCACGTATTATTATTATTTATAGATGACAATTTCTTACGTCATATTTTCCTCCACTCACAATTCGCGACACAGAAAGGGGAAAATTTTTCTCCTTAGACTATTAATGAAAATTACTAAAAGGCAGATGTTTGTCCTTGATAGCAATGTGTTATTATCGGACACTAAATCGGCTCTTTTTAATTCGGATATTGTGATTTGGATATAAATATGTAAAATATAAACAAGTGATTTACATTTCTCGTTTCTTTTTACGAGTTATAAATATTATGTGAAATTTGTTTACGGCTTCTTTATATAGTTGGATACGCTTAGGTGATCGAGGACTTTATAATATTCATATTGACACCATGCATTCTTGAAGGATGTAAATGTGAGTACGATACAATTTATTAACATTTCTTTGTGCATTTTTAAAAGTTATTCATTAATGTAGATTTCTATAGAGTTTACATGCAATATTTTACATAATTTTATTCATTTTTTTTTAATATTAAACGATAGTATTTTTAGTTTATATATTACTGTAAATTGTTAATTTGTACCTTATACAAGATTTTTAATATTTTCAAGTTGGAAATCAAATTTTTCCTCGTAAAGATTTTTTTTCCTGCAGAAATAAATGTTATATAAGTAAAAATTAATTAAATTTTACATAAAAATACGAATCATTTTCGCAAAGATTTTTATAAATATTTCCAAAAATATCGTTGTGAAATTAACATTCGTCATTTTTATTGCACAACGAATTACACTTTAATATACTGCAATTCAGCGGTTTATCAAAATTACTAAATAAGCTAAATTACTTAATAAGCTTAAAAAATACTTTTCATTTATATTAATCTGTATACAAAGTCAGAAGCTACCTTTACATTATCAATTCCGTTTTCGATTGGTGTAAAAGTTATTCATTATAAGCAGGAACGAAGGAACAGGAAGCGAATGTTTCCCATTCCTCCTGAAATAATCTGGAGTGGGAAGTAAGGTTGTTAACAAACCGAACGTTTGTGACAATTGTTGCATAGTTGGCTGATTGTACCCGACAGAAAATAAAAAGTGCAGAAGTTTGATATGGGTCAGTGATTCAGCCTTCCCTTAACAATTAAGGAAAGTGATAGCATAAAGAGATAAAAATTCTGCTATAGAAACAATTAAGGAATTATATATATATAACGTACCCTTTCTAAAGATTAATTATTGACTAATATTGTTACAGTAACTCTTATAAAATTAACCAAATTTATTTTAATATATATACAGGTTTATACAGTATACTTTTATAGTTTAAAAGTTTACATATTGTAATAAGAACCTATTAAATTTTCTTAAAAATTAAAAATGGAATAATTGTGGGTATATCAACTATCTATTTATTTCTGTACGATACTTAAATATATCTTTTTAATTTTTACAATTATAAATACATATATATCAAATCTTACTATAGGAATCAATCATATTATAGTTAATTTTGGGTATTATGCTGACTTAATCTAACCGGGTTAACAATATAATAGCGTAGGCTTAATTAAATGAGACACATGACTACTATTTTCTTCGTTGTTGATCTTACTCATATCCCAAAGAGACTGATTAAATCTTTATTATTTTCATTCACATTCTCATTATCTGATTCTCATCTCGTATATACATATAAAAGAAAATTTCATTCGAACATGATTGAAATTTATGCAAAATTTGAGCTCATATGTTACAAATGTTATCGATCCAAAATCGAAAATGACAATAGAGAGACCTGAATTGTTCGAAATTAAATAGACTAAATCTCTCGATTATCATAAAATTTAATTTGTGTAGTCTACTTTTTAATAAAAATCGACACTATGAGCTTTTATATATTGAAATTAATAAAACATAACATTCTAAAAAACCTCTTAAGAAGTGAATAACGCAAAAATTCATTATGCAAAAGTTGTTTGTTCAGTAAAATTTCTCTCGAAAAAAATATTAATTAATATATAATAATTTTTGTTAGTATTATTACTTTAATTTAATTCTTAGTCTTTATTTTTCAGTTAGTTTCATTTTACAATGTCGTATGTCGACAGGCTTCCTCCAGCAAATTCTACTCCATGCAACCAGACATCTCCATTCAGGGATGATATATGGGCTCTACCTCTTCTTGCTTTGTCTGTACTCAACATGGCAACTATTATTTGTTTTCAGTTTTTCGTTTTGTGTAAAATATGTAATTCGGGAGCCAAAAGTCGAAATATGTTTTTGGGCCAGATGCTGCTTATGGGTCTCTTTCTAGCCTCTCTAACGGGCGTAACGTTCGTTGTTACTCCAGATTGGATATCGTGTCTTTTAATACGACTCGGTTCGGGAGTATCGTATGCTCTTATCTTTTCATCTCTTTTAGTAAAATCTTTATTTTTAATGAGTTTACATGATTCTTATATATTACCCATCATCTATCAAGCCCTTCTACTCTTCTTCGCTGTAGCTGTACAGTTAGTCATTGAAATTCAATGGTTAGTTCAGAGTCCACCAGATATAATAAACGATGAAGATGGTAAAAAACAATGCAAGACTAAACCATGGCAAATGCTACTATCACTTTTATATATTATGTTTTTGATATTGAGTGTTACTATTCTATCAGTAAAAATTCGAGGATATAAAGAAAACTATAAAGAAGCGAAATATATCGGAGGAGCTATCGGTGTTGGCATCATTTTATGGATAACTTGGATTTTGGTTTCAATTTTGACGAATTCTCGTTATTTTTATGTAACCATGGGTTACGGAGTAGTGTGTAATGCTACAATTATGTTTTTCGTAATGTTTCTACCTAAAGGGCGTCAACTAGCATCCATGGATCATATAGAAAGATCATCCTTAAATCAGTCATCTTACATGCCGTCCCTAATTCCATTTTATCCTCCTCCTTCTTCGTCTCTTTCTTTAATGCCTCCAAGAAAAATAAAATCTGTTCTTAAATCACCCGCAGGTAAGCAATAATAATTCAAATTTTTAAAGATTTAACTCTAAAATTAATAATTAAAACTTATTTAGTAAGAAATCCGCCAACTTATACATCGTGGAAGAACGAATTATATAGGCCAGATGCGGATAGAAGATATCCTTTATATCATCGTACATTCACCGAGAGGTATTCTAATTCCAATCCTAATGTGAGGTTTTGTCGAACACCAGTATATATAGAAGACGAATGGATATAATTTAACTTCTATATTTATAAATTAATGCATCAAACAATTTGTGTTTTATTGTAATCAGTTTCTTTTTAGATAATTAAAAATTTTAAGTTATTTATTTTGTGTATAGATTGAATTTATGTATATGTAAACAAGCAAAGATGTGAATATTATAAAATGAATGATCATCAGTTCTATGTTTTTTTTTCCCCATGGATAAATGTTATCAAAAATAAAAAAGTAACAGTTTATTTACAATACCGAATTTAATTTCTAATTAATGATCACCAATTTCTTGTCTTTCAAAAATTAAATTCAGTAATTCGTTGAGAGGCGGTATATTTACTTGATTTTCAGAACGTTTGAGCCTTATACTGGTCGGAGATAAAAACTGGCAATCAAAATCAGTTTGTTCTGCCAGCAATTCGTCAGAATGAACCCTAGAATCATCTAAATTGTATCCACTATCAAAAATCATATTAGATGCCTGAAAATTCAATAATTCGTCATCAGTATCGACTACATTTACTACTTCATCGTTTCTTAATTGTAGTTCTTCGTCTTCTTCCACACTTAAAGCATCTTCCATTTGTGTAGCTTCTTCCACCAGAGGAAATCGAACAGAATCGTATTCTTCGTGTTTTCGACGAATTTTCGTCCAACACATTACAAATGCAAATAACAGGGTGGCAATTACTGTAATTATGAGAATCGAAAACGCTTCGGGATAAAGGTAAAGCAATTTTTTAAATGCTACAGACGTAGATTTCGTTATATCAGTCATACGATAAAATAAAATGCACGAAACAACCTTGTACAATCAAATCGAATTAAATTTTATTGTTTTTATTTTATTGTTAGGTAAAGATGAATTTTTTATTTTAATAATATACAGTAATTATATATTTAATTTTTTTATTACGAAAACTAGTTCGTTTACGTTTATTTATAACTAAAATACAGATTATTTTAATAATTAATAATAATAAATTGATTTGATAAACCGCGATTTAATCAACGGTTAATTATAAAGAAATCACTTGTTATTTTTAATTATTATAAATTTAACTGTTTGTCATCATTTACGTTAGGTTTTCAAAGTAAATCTCATACACTTGCATTTGTAATTTGCATATTTCTGTGTACAAGAAGAGTACTAATGAATATGTAATACTGTATTTTATTATGGTTTGCTGATAATAAATTTTGTTAAGTTATAAAAGATATGTACGACAGACTTTATTAATGTCAGTGAATATTAAGTGTTTGTGTTTAATATGGATGACTGAAGGGAAGTGCTAAAACACTCGAAATGCATATCATAGGATAAAGTTGTGTGATAATTTTCCTAGAAGAGTAAATGAAGAAATTATTCTTATACTTTTAATCATAAGAAGTAACTTTCATCACACACTAAACTTTTATCAGAAATTTGTTTTTATGCTATGGGGAGTAAGTTTCTTCCGAAGATGAAAGGAAAAGGTATCAAGGAGCTTCAATATTCATGATGAACGATGGACTTTTCGAGAAGTAAAGGCCAACCTTAAGATTATGTCCCAAAAGTTGTATTGCGTGCTGATAAATACTCAAGGTAAGGAATTTAACCTATAAACAATTAGAATTATTTTATTAAGTAATCTTCGAGTAAGGCGAAGATTCTGGTATCTTTGTCGGAAAAAGACAAATTGATTGACATTTGTTTCGTTCATTCAATCAGTGTATGTCTTTATTAGAAAATATAATAGGCAAACATTTACGTAATTATCGCCATATTTTACAAAATGGACATTTCCAAATTCGACTTTATATATTGATTATATACAGTATAAAGGCTTCACTCTTCCTATATTTATATATTGGCTTATGTTAATATTTTTAGACATTTCATTGATGAATTTTACCTTTTGTAAGTTCTGGAGAAACCTATATGAGTTAATAACACTAATATTTATAAATTTGATTTTCAAAGTATTTTTCTAACCTTGTTTATGATGAATGTTTTATAATTATTTATTTTCTAAAAGTTACACGCACTTTAATTTTTACGATAAAAAATTTTTAATTGATTGTAATATTTGTATAAATTATGATTAATAATATATTCAAGTTTTTATAAAAATAACGAATGGTTAAAATGAATGCAATTGTACTGTACAATTATAATAAAAAATTATATAGTAATTGCCAGATGTCTAATAATGATAACTTTAGAAATTTATTTTCTATTATTTCTATTGTTTTTCGTGCGTTAAAAATAATCATTTTTTCACTTCAACTCTCTATAAGTAAGTGAAGCAGAAAAACGAACATTAAAGGAAAATATTGAATTCAAATTGAAATATAAGGGTAACCATATCCAAACACTTTAATAATACCGTTATGGTTTAAAATTTTTATTTTATAAAAAAGCAAATATACCTAATAAATAAGAAGAATTAAAAAAATATTTGAGATTTTAAAGACAATGTGATCGTACTAACTTTATCTTTAGTTATACCTGGATATTGTTATAAAATCATATAGTAGCATCCTGATAGAACTATAGTTATTTTAACAAGCTTAATTGGAATTTTTTCCACTTAGGCAAGCTAATAATACATAGGATGTATTTTAAAAGTTTTTAAAAACAACTTTTTTAATAACAAATTATCGTTACATTGAAAATTATTTTTCCAATTTCCTCTTCCAAAATATAAAATTCTTCAGAAAATTTCTTCATTAATACCTCTTCTCTATTTTTCTCAGTTGACTCGAAAAATCCCAATATGGCAATTTTGTTTTCAGTACCTCTGGTTTAATTTTCCACAAGAAAAGAAGAGGAATAGATGCTGAACTTGTTCGAATGCTTCTTTTTGTAAATAAAAGTCTGTTGTGGGTGATAATGAGAACAATATCTTATTGTTTATTGATTAATCTATCGTAATTAACTAAAAGGGGGTATCGTAAAAGTCAAAATGAAAAGTTTGGTTTCATTTCTTAGTAAAAAGAAACAACTGATTAAATTTATTCTTTTAATTTATCAATTTATTAATAATATATAGAAATAATTAGCTTGTAAATAAATTTACAAGTTAATAATTATATTTAATATTTATTATTTAACTAAATTAAGTTCACTGAGTATTCTATTTATTCGAATATTGCAAGATGTGGTTTTTAATACTCGAATTCGAGAAAAGCTATACTTGCCCATTTCTACTAATTAGATTTAATAATTTCAATTAAACTAGTCCATATTTAAAGTTTAATGTTAAATATTAGAAATAAACAGTAATTCTGTGCCAATCTGGCAGGAGTGCAAAATATCTAGTGTCATAAAAAACATTACAATAAAATGTAGTGTCTCGACTTAACCTATAGACATTAATTGGGAAAATTCTCCAATCAGTTTAGTTTTTAGAGAAGTTGCGGCCGAAGTTTTCATCTGTAAAACGTGAACGTCGAGCGCCGCTTACAAGATAGTGGCGCTCGACGTTCGACGTTCACGTTTTTAAAGATGAAAACTTCGGTCGCAACCTCGCTTTTCACGGCAAAATTATACGGTAAGCGTATTTAATTATTTGGAAAATTCAAATGAATTCATAAAAACTACGTAATATTAGGCCTAATTACTTATCCGTTCGTATATTGTTGCTTTTATTTTGTATGCTAGCGTGCGATAATTTTCTGGGAAATATTTGGTCCTGAAAATATATTCAGAATCTCTGCAGTCTTGATGTTTTCTAACTTATAGAAATAATAAAGCCCTATTAACTTGAATTACGCTAAGACAAGATTGATGAAGCGGAAAATTACTAGAGCTTTCGTAAAATGATGAATTGCTCATTTACTGTTTGTTACATTGGAATAAAACTTATTGTCTAATAAACTTTTATGGTTAATTGAGAGTCGAGTAGCATAAGAACTATGTAAAAAGAAAACTCATTAGCGTATATCATAAAAACGGAAACTCAATTTAGTGAAAGTTTTGTTTTTTTTTTTTTTACCTTTCTTTTTGTTAAAGATATGTTAATTGGCTTCAAAAATAACCTTCTTTATTTCTGTGCCTATTACTTGGAGTTTCTATTATTTAAAATCGTTTTTAATTGCTGTGAATAAACTTGTATAATATAGGTTAGAATCCTCTCGAATTATAAATTGAAAATCCCACGAATTGTAAATAATTGCATAATCATAAACTTCGTTGTGTTAACGAGACCTTTTTAAAGCAATTTTTTTTAATAGGAACGAGTAATTTATTACAACCGAATTAAATGAAAAAATACATAAGAACAATAAGTTTTTTTGTTTATAATTTTATTTTCGAATACTAATAAAGAAAAAAAAATTAGAGATGATCGTTAAATGATTACATTTCACCCGATAATTTATTCTTCTCGTCGATTAATCTTCTTTTTTTTTATCGATAAAAATATTCCCAGAATTTTAATAGGGCTTTTACATTCGCGGAAGCGTCATTTTTTTAATAATAATTTCCGGATTGCTGGATATTTCGATTTCTAAATATAGAGTTAACATTGTAAACACTAAGTTTATTTATTTTTAATATAAAACAATTAAAATTTTGCTTTAATATTTATGTACTAAATGATTTCGAACGGTTTGATCCATAGCTTAGTATACAACAATACATAAAAGTTGGTGTGCAGAATTTCGGGTGTAATCTTATTCGAAAACTTTTTAAAAACTAAAGACAAATGACAATTTTTTTAATTAATCTTTTCACGATATTCATCTGAGAATTGAAAAAAAAACTACAACTAATTTTTAGAGTTAAAACTAAACAAAAATGTTTAATTTTTAACTTTTTCCTCTCTGTGAACACAGGACTTTTTTGCTCGTATCTATTTTTCTCTCCACCATGACCACATTGGGGTGGGTTTTGCAAACTTGTATTTTACATATGAAATGGACATATATTTTTGCATGATGTTCGATTATTCTACTGAGTTTAACAAGAAAATGTCCTAAGTAAGATTATTTTATGTAGTCTTTAGACTTTATTCAAGTCTTTCGTGCAGAATCGATTGATGTTAACTTATATGAATTTTGATGGCTATGTTATATGCTATCATTTGTTGTAATAAAGTATATTATAATAATTAATTGTACAGTATTGATTATATGTATTATTATATAAACTTAAAAGCTGCATATTAAATCCATATATAGCTTCAGCATTGATATGATTATTTATTTATAAAATCCACTCTAATAGTTATTATAGTCGTAAAATTACTTCTACAGAAAATATTTGTTGTTTAACTTCATTAATATTTAAAATTTTATAGCGTCGAATACCATAGTTTATAAAATAGGAACCGTAAAACACAACTTGTCTTTACAATAATCTTTATTTATTTATTTTTAATTGTTTAAGAGTTTAAAATACTTTCCGTTTTTCAACAAAAGGAATTTATTCGAAACAATTAAACTTTTCTTTGTTAAGAGGAGAAAGAGAAGACAGGAAGTGTTTACAGGGCTACAATAATTCCCGCTGTCGTTTGCCTGCCTTTTCTTAATCTCGAGAACCGAGTTAGATGAAAGTCGAGACTAGATATTGAAAGCTTAGTGGTAGGAAGCTCCGATTAATTTGATTATTAAGAAATGAAAAAAGATTCGAGTCATTTTCTAGGCCCAGGAGGAAACGAAGAGTAAAAGTTTTCTAAACTTTTAATTTTTTAAATCCTTATTTGAGAAGTTGGTGAAACTCGGAAGCATCAACTCCGCGTTGACATTCACCTGGAAACGACAAGCGAAGACTTTTGTTTAATTAAATTAATTGCATGTTGTTCCTGTTAAATTTAATATAATAAAATAGGAGAGAGAGAGAAAGAATTATATTGTCAATAGGAATAGCAAAAGCAAATGAAACTAAAAGTTGTGAGAATTAAATATCGTGACATTGGGAGGTTATAAGTCACTTAACAACTCGTTTTCCTTTGATTTTTTTTAAATCGGGATGATGATAATTTTTATTTACGATATTTAGTTTTATTGCTTATTAATAACAGCATTAGTTTTATCCCGTTTTCGAGAAATAAATTCTGTGAATTTGGCGTAGAATTTGTTAATGAATGCATAATTCTAAGGACAAGATTTGCAATCCTAGATAAAAAAGCAATACTGTGTGTTTATTTTTCACTTTGATTTTTTCCGCTGTACGTGCACTTTCCGGATTGAGTCAATACCACAGTAGGGCTGTCTGTAGCGAGAAACAGGGCCACCATTTTCGATTATCCCATCCACGAAAAATTTGGTTTTAAATTTTCTGAGCTGATCCGATCCCCAAAATGGCGCCTTTACCGCCTCATGAAGCCTGTAGTTAAAAAAAAAAAAAGTGGTGACTAAATGAGATCGTGTCGCCATCTGTTGACTAAAAATGTATCCAATTACATTATTCTTTTGTGTGTGTAGACTGTCAGAATTCTTTAATACATTACAATTAATTTCTAAGAATTTATTTTAAAAAAATATATATCGATTAGTTTATAAGAATCGCGGCAAAATATTAATAAAATAGAAATGTACAAATTAATAAAATTGGAGCCCGAAGGCCCCCAATATATAACATGAAATGAATACAGTAGACACCCTATAACACTGTAGATAATTCCGTGTTATATGAATTCCATGTTGTACGGGATTTTACAAATACGTGAGCCGTTCACAGCCCGGCACAAGTATTTGTAAAATCTAAGTGACTCGTACAACATGGAATTCATATAACACGGAATTATCTACAGTGTTATAGGAGGCCTATTGTAATTAATAACCGTAAACAATAATTTCATATTGGTAGTTCCCAACATGAAATTATTTATATTACAAACTTATTATTGTTTAGTATTTAAGTAAGCTTAATTAATAGATTTTGAATGATGAGATGTCTTTTAAATATCAATCCTTTAAAAGTAAAAATAAATAAATATAAAATTTAATATTAAAATTATCTAATAAATATTTAAAAAGTTTCTTTGATACCATAAAGATAATTATAAAATCTGCAAGTTTATATAAATCTAGTTTCCAAGTAGGTTTTGTTAGAAATCATCCTACGTACAGACCTACTTCTATTTTGATAAGCAACTTATATACAAAATAGGCTTTCTGTATTTATTTTTGTTTGTACAGTTCTTTAAAACGTTCCCAATCGATTTACTTTTCCGGCTGTTATATATAACAGAGGGAAAGTACAGCGATCGGTCAAGAAATGCCCCCCCCAAGATTTTTACATGTTTGGACTTAGGACACCTTGAAACATCGAGAAATATAGAAAAAAAAACCCGAATTTATTTGTATATATATGTGTGGGGGCCACGATTTTGCTGTTTCACTTTAAAGCTTAATAGCACCAATCCCCCTATTTATTTATTATATTTTGGTGATTAAAGATTGAGGGGTGGGTGAGGAGATCGTGTGTACCTCCAGTAGGGTCGGACTTAATAACGATTTTACTCGTTATTAGCATTTACAATGTTTTATAAAACCCATCTCTACCCTCAAATTTAAGTTATTCTGTCATTTTATAATAGTTAAAAAACATATCATATTTTATTTAAAAACATTTTATAACACGACGATATTGGAGATACACGTGTTAGAGACTAGATAATTATTTTAAATGGAGTCATTTTATAAAAGTACAAACAAAACGCTAAAAGTTTTATTCGGTAAATCTATTGATACATTGTAACAATACGTCGAACATTACAGAAATTCTAACGCAAATCAGAATAAAAATACTTATAGAAAAACTATAATATTTTAAGTTAAATGCAACAAAAAAAAATATATTTCGTCACATATTTATTTACAAAACAACGTATATTAAATTGGTATATAGTATAAAAAGATGTAAACTTTATATAAAGTTCGTAATTTCATTAAATTTTGATGTAAAAATGGATTTTTTTTTTCTTGAGCGAGTTTGTGACAAATGATGGATGATGGTAACTCATCTATAAAAATAGAAAAACAATTTTATTCATTTCTAAATAATGTGAAAAGTAAAGATGAATATAGTAACAGTTACCTAGCAAACGATACGCTATCATCCACCATCATAAGATGTTTATTTCCATAAATAGGTTGAAATTGGCTTCCTCCATCGTACATGTCGAGCGGATACAAATCTGTTGCTTGAACTTGAACCGAACCGGAACTATCGCTCTTTGCATCATCTGTAAACCAAGCACTTCTACTGCGACTTCCTCCCCCATACATTTTACCATTTAGAGATGCTTGAGAACCTAAAACAATAATAACAGTAATGCATGAATTCACTCGGTTCCACGAATTTCCGAATACAATTTCATCAAGTAGGCCTATAGTTACCGTAAAGTACTGCAGTTATGTTACTCTTCTGTAATGTTCCGTAAAGAGATGGGGCATATGTAGAGGGTTGAAGACTCGCAGTCATCTCTCTATCTCTCGCTTGTCTGGTGAGTTTGCTATACAGATATACTTTCCTTAAATACAGCAACAACATAACAGCCGTGGCACAGATTAAGTTGGCGATGACGGTTGTGGCATCTCGATATCTTAACGGTAAATGAGTCCAAAGAATCGTCCACGCTATCCATATTGCGGTTACAAATAAGCAACAAGCTAAAATCCATCGTGATTCCCTGTTGTTGTCTTGGCATTTCCAAGTCAGGAGAGAGAAAAGGATAGTGATTAATAGCAAAAGCATTACATAAACCAACGATATGACGAGTTCTTCTTCGGATGTAGACGGTGGAGAACATCTCCACACTCCATTGTATAATCCTATTTTCGGAGGAATTAAAATTAACCAGGCCGCAGTTAGAATGATTTGTATAAGTACAAGCCCTACAGCAATTACTAATAGTCCTGCGGGACTAGATAATTTGGTTCCATCATTTAGCATTCTGTTTCCGTGATAACCCATCATTCTCCACATATTGATGACTTTTACCAGAAGCCCCGAGAATATAATAGAGTAAGCTAAACCCAGAGTAAATCTTCTGATGCCACAAGTACTTTCTGTTGGTGAGACAATAAATGCAAAGTTTACAGTGTAGAGTATAAGAAGGCCAAAGAGTACCATATAGCCGAGAACCGTGGTTCCAACAGTAACAGGAAAAGACACCAAAAAGTAAAGAGCGCAGATGATAACTAACACTATACCCAATAAAGAAAGGGATGTTAAAATTATTCCCCAGAGTGTTTTGAAGTTGGAAAATATAGAATCTTTCAACATCCATGATTTTTGTCGTTCTTTTGCACCGATTTGATCATGTTGGCATTTATAAATCATATTGGTTTTCACTTTAATCTCGTCTTTTCTCAGTACAAGTTCTTGACCTTTCCAATATCCAACCTGAAAGCAAAATAATATGTAATTTTATTTCAAAATTATTTAATATAAAAATGAATAATCTTTCAAAATATGAAATTAATATTATAAACAGATTAACAAAACCGGGATGGTATTGGCACAGACGTAATGAAAATAACTGAGCATACAGTCTACTCCTTAAACCAATTGACAGGTCTTTTTCAGACCCGTCGATTCCAAAAGAAAAAAACGAACTATAGTTCTCATATTTCTTATGAATAAAAAAAAGGAGACTAGTTACATTACATTCTTTAAGGCAATTTTATAGAGGAGAAACGTGAATTTCCAAACACCACCGTGCTTGGCTTTTACTGTTTTTTTCGAGAAAGCATTCTACTCAGTTAAAATAGAAACTACACTTATTACCCTCATTTCTTATGGAATCAGCCTACATTGAAATTGCCAAAACGATCCGCCGGATTATTTACCGGGCTAAATTAAAGGCTAAAGCCATGATTAAATAAAAAGCAGTTTGCCTAGAAGTAGATGGTTAGGCCACCATTTCATGGTAAATTTAATAATTAGAAATAAATAAATTTTTAAATTTAGAATATTTCAGAATGAAAGATTGACTCGAAGCGGGACTCGAACCCGTAATTCCTGCTTACTGTGCAGATGCGTTGCCAATTACACTACTACAGTTCTTTTATCTCTGTCCTTACTCTTATCAATTCTCTTATCTCGGTCCTCAATCTATTCTAGATTTAAATATAGAAATTTTTAAGTACTATATACAAGAATGGAACATCTGTAATCAAATTGCATGCAAAAAGTGAACCTTTTCAGACGCAAAACAATGTTAGACAAGGCGACGTTATTTTACGAAAATTGTTTACAGCAGTTTAGAAGAAATTTTAGATTTCATTAGACTGAAATAATTAACATAGAGAAAAGCTCGACATTTTTTGATTTGCAGATGATGTAGCTTCAAGAAATGTCAGTTTGAACGATGCAGCATACAGACGGGCTTGAAAATTAACATTTTAAAAAACAACTTATGTTCAACAAACATGCTTTAACAGCGATCGAGTGTAACACTCGATGCTATTAACATAGAACGAGTGAATTGCTACATTAATCACCATTGATGAATATATAATGGGAGAAATTAATCACGTTTGCAGAAACGAGAGATAATTTTAAGGAAGATACGTTCATCTGTGTAAAGTGTAAAGCTTTCAATCAATGTTATGACATGACAGTGAAACATGGTCATTGAGACACTTCAAACTTTCTAATGGAAGATAGAAGGTGTTCTGTTTGAAACCATTCTCAGGGAAAGAAACGAGTGGATAAGACCAAAAAACATCAGATATTATGAAGCGCGTAAAAGATTTAAAATGGCAATAAACTGGGCACACGAGCATTAGGCTAGAACAGACAATAAGTACACAGGAATCATAAGAGTGGTACCCGAAAGATGGGAAGCGTTTGAGAAGCTAGCCTAGAACTAGATGGGAGGACGAGATTCGAAGGACAGTTGGTATCCAATGGAGAAGAATTGCTGAGGATTTAGATAAGTGGAAGATCGCGAGAGAGACCTTCTGCCAGTAAGTCAACTGAATCAGAGCTGATCATGATGATCGTCTTTGAATATAATATAAAAGTATCACAAATAACCTACTGATAAGGAAAAATACAGTAATAATAATAAAATATATTTTTAAATTACGAATTATTAAAAATCGTCAAAATTTCTAACTTGAATCTAGATATAATCATAACCAAAACATTATCTGTTTAATTGTCAAATTTTTTTAAAGACAAATGTTCAAAATGTCAAATGTAACAATATTAAATTCAAAAATTGCGTAATTCTAAAACTTTAGCTTCAAAAAACTATAAATTAAAAAGCGTTCGAAAACACATTTGCTAGCAAATTTGTATAAAATATGAATAATTATCAGAAAAAAAATTTCTATATCTTACCTTAAATATTTGATTGGTAGAAGAAACGTTTCTTATTTGATATATTTGAAATCCAAAGGCAACTATCGAATTGTCACAATCTGAGCAGCCGTTTTCAGAACTCGAAATTTCTTCCTGAATGGCTTTAGCTAAATGCATTCTTGCTTCTACTCCGCAATCATCAATTCCAACTGAAGCTCCAGCCCATAAGCAATACTTCTTCAGATATTTCTTTAAACCATTAGTCACTGCGTAAACTGAATCGATTGTTTGAGAAACGAACTTTGCTTGATTGATTTCCTCTTCGTTAAGTCTCTCTTCTCTGCTACATTCCGTCTGATACTGAATTTGAATACTTTTACTGTATGATAAACGGCATTGAAATTTACGCTGCCAAAATTCTTCAAACCATTGATCGGGAATGGAATCATGTTTACCTAAACTCAAACTGCTAATGTATTTTTTAAAATCGGGTACTTCCTTATTATCTGTTTTTATCACGATAGTTTTATCGTGCGTGATTATCTCTTTTGACCAACCATCAGTAATAATCCATTGAGTATTATTTAAAATAGAATGATGCATAGAAGCTTCTGCTACTTTTTTAACTATTTCGGTATCTTCTGTAAGTAAAATTACTACACCGATTTTATTTTGAATATTTTCTTGGAAAATATCTATTAATTCTAAAGTAGATTTATCAACATCTACTTCTAACATTCCAGAAATGCATATATCATTATTCTTAGCTGTAACAGTAAATTCATTTTTTCCAAATTTTCCAAATTCATCTTCGCTGTAAATAAGATAAACACTTCTCCAATTATAAGTAAGTAAAATTTTCGTAATTATTTTTATTTGATTGAGAACCGATGGTGATGAAGTCGTTGATAATAATGATTCGGCTTCCATTTTCTTTCCCGAAACTGCGGGAATGATTATTTGTGTAATGTTAACAGCTTCTGCTATAGGGGAAATTATCTCTGCTACTTCATTATCGAAGGTCAAAGCGGCCAAAAGTGATTTGGGACTTGAATGATTCAAATCTCCATCTTCAGAATAATAGTTATAAAGCATACCTTCCGCCTTCTGATAACGATTGCAATAGTCGAATATGGTCAAACCTAATTTAATATTTGGCAAAATGGTGGAATTCTTGTTAACTTGGTTAATTGCGTATGAAAGAGCTATTATATTTTGAAATATCTGTTCGTTATTCAGTTGTCCACAAGAGAAGAATGTCGATCCAGATCTATGAACGGGAGCTATAGCACCAATCACAAAAGAAGTGCCTTCGGCTGGTAAAATTTCCATGATATCAGTCGGTTTACTTTTAACAGGAGGACAATCTTCTGTATTATTGCAGACGGAACGGATATTGTATAAAGAAACCTGCTTTTTTGCATCGTTGTAGCCTCTTCCTCTTGATGCATTGATATGAAGGCCTTCGTCCTCGTTGAAACGCCCAATCTATAGAAGAAATAAGTAAATATAAATATTCATGTATTCATAATTTGTTTTTTATATATAAAAAATAATTACCGTTACAAAAGCTTGAGCATTGCTTCCAACTTCCATAAAATTATAAATATCGAATGATCCAGGATTATAATTGTGGCTTCTAAATCTAACTATTTTATTATCGATACCTATAAAAGTTAATTTCTTGCTATTTTCTATTATTAATTGTCTTAAATTTTCCATATTTTTCATTTGATGACAGACTCCTCTCAATTTAGTAGGGCAAACTTGCTGTCTGACTTTCTCCAAACCTTGAGCCAGTGTAAAAACTGCATTTATTATTCCTGGTATCTGAACGTCTTGAAGGAAAGTTCCTTGTCTGCTCTCTTCGATTCCAATATTAAAGCAAGATGAACCCCGACATTTAAACTTTTTCTCCCAATATTCGCTAAACCAAGAGTTTCGAGTATTGTTTCGAATGTGAAGATTAACAAAATAATCCATAAAGCTGGGAACAGGTGACGATTCGGATCGAATGCTAATAGCTCCTAAAGATAATTCTGGATGACGATAGAAAACGTGAATGGTTTCGGGTGCAAACCATATTGGATGTCCAAAATCGGGATAATTTTCGACAACTGTTAGAAGTCGATCGAGATGATTGGAATTTAACAATACTACTATGACTCTGGAATAAACGGAAATGGATTCTATCTTAGAGATTTATTTCAAATAACTTATAATTTCAAAATAAATATTCATTTATTCTCGGAACAAATATTTAGATCAGAAATTCATCACTTATTAGACCTAAGGCTATATAATTTATTTTTATTGTTCTTATAAAATCTAGTTCAAAATTTCACACACTTTTGTCCTCATTTTTTTTTTATTCTCGATCTTTAGAATCATGTGATAATTTACTTAACGAAAAAATTATTTTTACTTTTAATTCTCTACAACATGTAACTATTTTAGGAAATATTCGCAAATGAATAAAATTTAAAACGCAATTTTATTTTTTTATTAAATGATATGACTTTTAAAAAGGCAGACAATAATTTAACTATTATAAATACAGTAATAGAAGTTATGTTAATTAAAAATACTAATTGGTAGTTTTTTCATAAAATCCTTAATATTTAATTAACTATTATAAAAATAAAATTGCCAAATCTTTGAGTGTTTATATTAATTTTTTTCTCTAAAAGAAAAATAATTTTAGAATTTGATTACTCACTTAGATCCTTGTTTTTGTTTCCATTGCAACCGGCTAACTACTCCTTCTAAGGAAGAACTGCTGGAAGACGTTATTTTTTCATTCAAAGCTAAAATAATTCCTCTCTGTTGGGCCATACTGATAAATGCATTGTATAAATCTAAATGCTCGTCTCCGTATAAGAGTGATATGTAAGTCCAGTGAAAATGCTTTAATACACTAATCATTCCATCCGCTAATATATTGTTTGGAGGAGAAAGACGTAACAGCGAAGGATAACGTTCCAAATCGTTAAAGATCGAATGGGAAGCTGCAGGTGCCACCGTAGTTATGTTTAATGGTACTGTCACATCAACAACGGGATCTATAACATTAATGGAATGATCGCCTGCTATAAATCCAACGATTTCATTAGTCGATGGTAATTTTACATCTTCTGATGGAGATATTAAGGAATGACTGAAAAGATTTGACACATCTCGAGCAGTTTTCTCGCGACTGCTGCAACTATCCAATAATAAAGCTCCCATGTGAATTCCTGGTAAAATATCAGGATGCATATTGAGTTGATCTAAAGCCCAGAGAAAAGCTTCTACGTTCTGGATACTAGTCGATGTCAAAGGACCACACTGAAGTGGATTGCTTGAAGATTTGTGGACACTGATTGTAGCTGCGATGTAAAGACGATCAGGAGAATCCGAAAATAACCAATCGACTGGTCCATTGAAACAATGTCCACAGTCAGCGATGCATTCTGACCGTTGATCGTCAAACTGGATCTCTTGTCCTTCGATATTGTGTGTCACCAGATTTGTCATATTTATCAAACCATTATGATAAGTAGCCACCTATTGAGATAATATTTTAAATTATTTGAATTGATTTAAATTTAATATGATAAAATGCACTTACTTTTCTATAATTGTAACTCTGTAAGGCAGATCTTCTAAAAAAGAAAATGTCAAACGGTATATTACCATAACCAGTTGATGTAAAAGTGAAAAGATTGTCTGAATTTTCAGGATTTCCTGAAGCAGTATATTGAATATATTGACTGATAGCTGGTCGAAGTTGATGGTGGTGTAACATTCTGGAACATAAACCACGCTCAGTTGAGCATAAATAATCTCTAAGACGTGTTAACCCTGCAGCTAAGGCAATAACAGCTTGACTGCTATAAGAACTGCTCGAAGTTGAGTAATAAGGAAGAGGAGAACATTCCGTATCGGAACATCCTAACTTTTGTTGCCAATATTCAGAAAACCAAATATTTCTTGCATTATTGTTCGGTGTGAGTTTTTGATAGTATGACGAAAATTCCTCGAAATCAATTCTTTGAGGTCGAATCAATAAAGCTCCAGAAGCGAATAATTCTCTATCTTTAACAATGTTCCAATTTTCACTCCAATCTCCGTTAATAATCCATAGAATTTCTCCGGGATAAAAATCATTTGAGATTTTAATTTCGTCTAAAATTGCACGAATAGATGACTCGGATAACCAAGTTACTACGGCTCTACCACCTTTTTCTTTTGCCTTAGCTAATTCTATAACAGTATCTGTAACAGTAATGTTTTCTAACGATACATCAATAGCAGAACAGATTCGCTGCTGAGCAGCCAGTTTCTTGAATTCTGTCACCGCATTTTTGTACGAAGGATTATTATCGTATATAAGAGAAACAAATGACCATCCTAAATATTTTAATAAATCGATTGTGACTTTAACACCATTGCTTGCTGGCTGAGCTATTTGAAATAAATAGGGATTACTTCCAAGATTATCTTCCGAAATCTGAACGTCTTTTGTTGATATCAATGTGATATTAAATGGTGACAACATCGTTACTGCTGCTTCTACTTCTGAGGAAGCGGTAGAAGCTATCACCGCTACAGCAGAATCTAAAGCGATGCCATCCCATTGCTCTGTTTGTTTAGCTATAAAATTGCCTAAAGTCTTACGAATTGTCATTGGCGATGAACATGTATCCATTACAGCAATTCCCAATTCAATGCCTGGAAGAAATGCAGGATCGGCGTTGATTTTATCTAAAGTCCATAAAATTGCCTCCAAATCTTGTATCGCTTCACCGTTAATTACGGAACTGCACTCGAAGGGACGAGAACCTGTCTTGTGAATTGGTAATATCACAGGAATTAAAAGTGCATCAGATTTCCCGATAATAATAATATCTTGATTGGATAATTTATCTTCTTCCATTCTTGATTGTCTTATCCTGAAAATCAAATCAAAAATTATACCGTTTGTAGTTTTAAAATATATAAACTGTTAAGAGATATGTCTTAAACGAATATACTTTATGCAATCGTTGCATCCTTCCTTCGGACAGAGTGACGGTATGTACTTTGCATTGATGTCTACTACTTCTGCATGATCTGCATCGTATGCTACGGCCTTTAAAATATTGTTTACTTAATTATTAATAATATATATTTAAGAAATAGTTTAAGATTAAATAAAACCTAGCTCACAAAAATGATGGTATAACTAAAAATGTTTAATAATTTAATATTATTATTTTTACATCAATTTTATCAAAATTTACCTGAGTGTAATGCAGTCTCTGTTCTGAATCCATTCTGTATAAAGTTAATGCCAATTTCAAACCAGTAATTTCGCCTTCACGATTAGTTGAAACTCTTTGTCCGTTCATTTCAGGGGGGCTACGGTTGGAATCGCTATGATAATAGTCAACAGATTCGAGAAACTGCCCTATAAATTGTTGACGAGCCATCTGTCTAAAAGCATTACAAATACCAGGCACAGAATCACATAAAACTTCCCAACTTTTTTTCAAAGCGTGGGCATAAGTAGAAACAGCGTGAAAAGCAGCCAAAAATCTAGATGTCCTTCTTAATTCTGTAACTGGTTGTTCTATCGATGAAGTGCACAATGAAGGATCTCCTTTGAGACGGCATTGATTATTGTATGTGAAAAAATTTAAAAACCAACGATCCGTTATCGAAGTAGTAGCTTTTCTTGTATGAAGATTACTCCAATAACTTTCAAACTGTTGAATTGTACTCGGATAGGGTGACACGCTATAAATCTGTGAACCGTTGATTATATTTGCCAATTCTGTTTCGGGTGGGATCCACGAAAATAACCATTGCAAACGTCTGACTATATCTGGCACTTCACTCATCACTCGCATTAATTCCGTGAGAGTTTGTTCATCCATAATAACTAATACGGCGGTTTTATTTTCTAATCTATTAGTAAAAGTTATTAACATTTTTTTGAGTAGTTTTAGATTTACAGGATGTTCGGATGAAATGGAATGTGTCGCAATAATACATGGTTTTCCATTTTGGCTAATTTGACCCAACTTTTTTGTTACTTGAAAACTATGTTCATCTTGAGAATGGATGATGGCAAATCTTTCCCATTCGAGGTCATGGGCAATTTCTGCAAGAACCTGAAAAATTAAATGCAGTAAGTATCGATACTGTATTATAACACTAAAAAACCCGTAGAAACAAACTAGATAAACACTTACTCTAGCTAACTGTTCAGCGGGAACAATGTTACTACGAACAGAGATAACAGGAATTAGATATCTTCGGAGATTTTCAATTAGAAGACGATTTTCACGTATTGCATTCATTTCAATTAATCCTAAAATTAATAATTTTATTAAAATATATCACAAATAATATTAAAAATACATTAAGTATCGTTACACTATTAATCAAAAAAACCGTATATGGCGAGTCATTTAATATTTTTTTACGCATCAAAAACAGTTTCTATCCGAGTTATTTTTCTTAACAGATTCATTCTTCGCTTCAGTGGTCTATTGTAATATTTACCGGAAGACTTTCATCGTTAAATATAATGAAAATTCCTATCTTTTTTTTTTTTTATTTTCTTTTCGCTTTCTATATTCCTTACGTTCTCTTTCTTTATCATTTGTCACGGAGAATATTTTTAATACATAACAGAATATATCAACGAATTCAAATGTGAACTTTTAATTTTATTCAAAATACCGGTATATTTTTATCCCACTAAATTTTCTAAGAATTATTTTAATGAGGTTTATTTAAAATTTGGAGTGGTTCTAAATTTTATTATTTATTTGCATAAAATTCCAGTAGCGATTTAATTAAAGTTTCTCTTCCGTCCCCTTTTTTTTCTACATTCTTATCGTATTTTAACATATTTTCCTCCTTTGGTTTGGGTGCTTTTTAAGGTCGTTACGTTCAGCTGACCTATTTAAAAATTCTATTTTGCTGTTTTCAGACTATTTTCTCTAATTATTCTGTGAATAGATTATTCCGTTTCCTAATATCATTAACTAGTTCCCCTCCCCCTTTTTCTTTACTTTATAAACGAGAGCAGTCAAAAAATATATTAAAAACAGGACAAAACAAGCTTTAATTTATTTTAAAAAAAGCGAAAATAAAATTTTAAATTATTATACGAGGTATATTTTTTGGGGGAAAGTAATCGAAGTATAATTTTTACTGGTGAACTATTGCTCTATTGAAGAATGTTGTATATATAATTCGTATGTTAGAGACATGCCTCGGGTAGTAAAGTGGAACTTGTCAAAAATCTTTTAAATTAAAATATTTAACAAACTCGCAGACTCGCCAGGGTATATATATATATTAAAACGCATCAATGGAGCGATTAATCGCTAGAAAAGTTTTAGACGACAATAAATATTTCAAATGAATTTTTCCCCTTTAAAACTATTCAACAGAAATTATTACAACTTTAACATAAATATGTAAACAGTGAAAAAAGTATTACAAAAAAAAAATTTGTTAATGATAACTATTTTTTTTTTTTTTTTTTTAGATTTAACCTAGATGTTTGTGTCTGCCTGCAAGTAAACTCTTATTAAATTTTTCGAAATGTTAATTATCGATTTATTCGACAAGTGATATTAATTGATATTTTATTTTATAATAATACATTTTTGCTTCTACTGACGAATTGTATCGATTCTATTCGTCATACGAATGGTGTCAGTATGTCAATCACGTCTCATTAATAAACAAAAATCAGCTGTTTATTAAATCGCTTACATAAAAATCCTTTTATGTTAATGCAGATTATATAAAAACCTGTTTTTCCTCCAGCTAAATATTTACGCCGAAATATATATATATATATAACAAGGCATACTGTTACTCGATAAGAAAAGAATCTCCTAATATATTTTAATAAAATCGTACTTTTATTAGATGTGTTTACTGTATAGTTATCATTATTTGCATTTAGATTTTATACAGCTCTATCATTTTGTAGATAAGATAGTATCTAGATATTCCAAATTCCAGTGGATCATATAGGCCTATATATATATATATATAACAAGGCATACTGTTACTCGATAAGAAAAGAATCTCCTAATATATTTTAATAAAATCGTACTTTTATTAGATGTGTTTACTGTATAGTTATCATTATTTGCATTTAGATTTTATACAGCTCTATCATTTTGTAGATAAGATAGTATCTAGATATTCCAAATTCCAGTGGATCATATAGGCCTATATATATATATATATAACCGAAAACATTAAAAATATATTAGAGTTAATAATAACACTTTATAAAATTATCTCATTGTTTTTATTCAGGTAATAAAAACTAACCTGCCAGAAGGGAACCGTTTTCGGGTCTACAGGTCATTGAACCAGACTTTAAAACCGGAAACAGTGAAGTCACGTGTTTCGTACTTACATCCGGATGATTGCAGCTATCATATACTTGCAACCCTGTAAGAAACACACACGTTAAATCACACACCCTTATTAAGTTTCTTGTAAGCGTAGAAGCGATTTTAAAATATTAAATATCTTTTTATAATAATAAAATAAACATTTTAAATCAAAGTTTTTTTTTTTTAATATATTCAAAATTATTTTTTATATACATAAATAATTAATATTTATTTACATAAATCGGAAATATTTTGAAATTAAGTAATACAGTATTGCATTTTTCCTTGATTATATTTATGTCTGATATAACGTGTTTAAAATAACTTACTTTTTATTCCTTTATATAGAAATATATTGTATTAATAAAATCAAACAAGTTATATAAAGAAATTTTAAAGTATAAATAGAAATAAATTCATTTTTAAATAAATTTAAAGCTATATAAAAACACTCTTTTTTTTTTTAGATGATTTTCATTTAATTAATAGGTAGTTTTTAAACTGTATATAGGTTTGGAATATATTTTTTGATAATGGTTTTGATCTAATTTGAGATTATTTTTTTAAATTATAGTTACTTTAAAAACATTCGAATTTTTTTTCTGCAGTATTAATTGACCTACAGATTTCTTAAGGTATGTATTTACATTGGAATTCCTCGTAAGCTTATAAGATGTAGACAGAGATGTATTCTGCTACAGCCTATTAAACATATTAGGATAAAAATATCTCATATTATATCCTATAGGCTACAATATATTATATTATTGTTGATTTTTTTCCTTCTTTTTTTTCTTTTTTAAATTACTTGAGAAGAACGAATAAATAGAGCAGGATCCGACCCAAAACTAGTAAAGTATCCAAACGTTTCCACACGCAAAAAAAATTTTTTTGGGGCAGGAAAACATCATTAAAAATTAAATTAGATTAAAATAATTTATTAAATTTTTAAATAATTTTTATATTAAAGTATATATTAAATATAAGAAAAGTTTCATTGTATTCGTGTCGTCAAATTATTACGCACCTAATAATAAGTGTCGTATACAAAATTATTTTAGATGACACGATAAAATTTCTGGGACTTTTAGGATTATAAAGTGTAGCCTACATCTGTATTATTTGTTTTTTTCTTTGTAAGCTTGTAAGTTCTACTGTTTGATTGTTAGAGAGAACAAAGTCTTGTGGATTGTCTATTTATATTGAGTGGATTCAGATGAAAACGTGATTCTGTTTTGACTATTTTAATTATATTCTTGTTATCTATTACTGCGAAATCATTCCCTGGAGCGGACATCCTTTTTACAGCATAGGCCAAATGAAAGAACAATTGTGAATAGATTCGAAACCCACATCTTTCGACTTTCTAATGAGAGACAAGGAAGTTGTTTCGTCTGCAAAATACAGCGAAACAATCGAAGACAATATGACATTGAGAGAGACAAGAGTCCAACCTACATACCAATCTTAACGCCAGGAATAAACGACTCGGTCACCGCTTTCCTATTAATTTCTCCGTAATCTTGATTTAGAAGAGAGACGGCCCATCTCATAGCTTCGAACACTTCCACTCCTTGGCGACTCGGTCTTCCGCATCCGTACACGCCTTCTCCTCTTTCGTGGACGTTTAGAATCACACCTATGGTCACATCCGCATCTGGGTTCACTTTGGTGTACGAATCCGATACAACGCACGTTTCCGGCACCAACCATTGCGACCGGGCCACTTGAAATAGGAAGAACAAAGCTGCCAAAGCAGCCATCGATTACTCTCAAGGTGATAATTCTGAAAATAAATAAATAAATAAATAAAATTAAAGACATTAATTAAAATTCCTGACGTAACTAACGCGTATAGAAATACGGAAATTCTTCGTTTCTCCCAAATTTCTCAACGCCTAATTAAACAAACGGGAGAAGAAATATATAATTTTTTGATCGTCGGACCGTGTAGCCATGATTTATGTCTTACATACTTGAAATGTGACGTCACCAGAACTACGGACGTCAACCCCCATAGAAATTCGAAACATTAATTGCTATATCATGTCAGAAACAATCGTTTCGATGCATTCTTATAAGAGAATCCGTCCTATTTTCGAAACGATCCCTTTACCAGAATGTCGAAGGCCCGTGGCATTTCATTAAAAGTATTAGGAATCACGCTCGGTCTAGTTCACATTTTAAACGAGATATCTGCAGCCCCGATGCCTCTAAGCCATCGAACGGTGCACAAACCGCATTCGTTCTTCGAATGGTTAACAGAATTTTAATGGAAGCTGAAAGTAACATCGAAATAGATATAGAAAAATTTAAACGATAAGATATGACGAAGGGCGCGTAACTACGCCCTTTTGTAATGACATCAATTATGTCACGGATACAATTATTTTCGTTTGTAAAACCATTTGAAGCGAAGGTTAAGCAGCCCGTTTAAGCAGTTTTTGGTTCCAATCCAAAACTCGTGAGTTACGATAAGCATCTAGGACATTGATTAAGAATTAAGTAAAAACAGAAAAGGAAAAAAATAAAATAAAATAGTTAAGAAATATCAATCAGAAATTCATGCTCGGACAAGCATATACAGATTGCCATGTTTATCAATGTGTGTGTGCTTCGATGCTCGTGGGAAATTTACAAATTACTAAAAATTCTTATGGTTTACAAGTTCAGCGGCCATTTATAAAATAAAAAGATGCCATACTCAAATTATATAGATAGATTTCTAATATATATAGGCCTATATATTTTTAATAAATAAATAAAATAACCTATAAAAATTTAGCTTCGAATTTCAAACATGTAGGACAAAATTATGTTTTTAGACGTGGGTGCAATGTATGCAAAAATGATGCTTTTGTAAATTGTTATAAGGAAAAAACATAAGAAAATTGTTGCCTATTTTTTTTTGAACTAGTTCATCTTAGACCAGTTTTGTTGAAGGACATTTATTTGGACAGAGAACAAGGTGATTCTTATTATAGGCTATCTTTCATATCCTTTTGAAGGTTAATAATTTTTATTCATTTAACAGTCTACATTCATATAAAGTAAACCTAATTAACCAAGGAAGTAGCTATTCATTTATATAACGTATCCTGAATTCATACTAAAGTTGTTATTGTTATCTACATTCTTTAATTAGAAAGAAATAAGCATTCATTTTCAACTTCTCTGATTGAATAGTTAATAACTGGACTAGTCACTTTGTATAAGATTTTAATGGAAATTTATTGAGATAAGAGTGTTATTCTATTTTTTAATCTATACAGAAAAAAATACTGTTATATAATCTAGTCAGATCAGATGTATTTACTCGTTTAGAATTATTTTAAAAATTCACTTAAGTTATTTATCAAAAATCTCATTGTAAATCTGATAAAGGCAAACGTCAGTTGCATGCAAATGTCGAGCAAAAGTTTATATAGCACGTGACATAAATTTTAAAATATTCTAAAGCAAATAAAATTATCAGTTGAAAGTTAACCATTTTTTCTAGTTGATTTATGAAAATAGCTAAGCAATAATAAATGAATAATCTTGATGTTATTATGACTAATAAAAAAATAAATATGGCGATAATAATATATTGTCTGTTACTTTCAAGATTAGATTAAAAGTTCAGAAAAATCTATGAAATAAGGATACTTACCAGTTATAAAATAAATAAAGTTGAATGGAAATTTGATAGTTGGAACAACACAGAACGAATGAGAAGCAGTATAAAACAGATATATAGGATTATCCCTACCGAAAAGTAATCATTGGAACCATTATAAACATTTGTAACCGGAAACAAACAACAAGCTGTTTTTGTTTCTCTATGTTTAAGGTTGACCAAAATGATGACTTTAATGCCATTTCTTTAAATTGAATGAATTAACCTGATTCCAGTTGTTGTTTTGTGACCCGAGTTTTTCAGGAAGGTAAAGAAAAGAAAAAAAAAACCCAAGGCAAAAAGCAGAAAATTAGATTTTTGTTGGTATCAAAATTCGGATAATTACAATGGCATTGACTTTGAATTGTGATATTGTTTATTCAAAATTAGAATTTTAGAAGAATTTTTATAATCTACATAATAAGAATATGCATTGTTATAAAAGAAAGGACTGTTATATAAATTGACCAATTTTTCTAACGCTCAAAGTCAGGCTTCAGTAGATATAGACTTAATGTATACACATTTTTGTATGAAGATATGTCAATACTTCTATACAGAGTTCTAGATAAAAAGTATTCTATAAATTATAGAAGCCTTATAAATCAAATATAACATTCTACTTGCATGCAGCACTCGGCCTATATTGTTTACCATATAATTTATTGTACAATTAAATAAAACTAATTTAAATGTTTATCCTTAAGCATACAATAGTAATTCTACGTAAACTTATTTCATTATATCGGTTTATCACATCGAAGAATTTTTTAATAGAATTTTTTTTTTTTCTTGTGTGGAATGCTATTCCTATCAAACTCTATATTTAAGTAGTGTGATATGGAAAAACTACAAACAGGATAAGAAATCTATTAGTACAATGACATTCGTGCTTGGCTAGTAAAATAATAACAGTGGTCCGTAACAGTCTCTATCAATAATTTGTTCGGCTTAAAGAAGCACATATTTTAGGGATTATCATTAAGAAAACATAAATTGGAAGAAACTTTAACTGGTATTTTTCGAAGATATCAAGCACATAATACTTTAATGACCATTTAAATCCAACAGAGCATTAAGTTCTCAATCAAGTAAAAAAAAAGTTAAAAGAAAATTTTTAGATTATCCTAGTGTAAAAAGATATTAAAATTAAGTGAATATGAACTGTTTAGTAAGTTTGTTAATCTTAGATTCTAGAACAATAACAGTGATTGTTCCTGATAAGCTTCAAAACATTCTTTGTTAATAAAGATAATTTAAGTTTATCAGGAAAGATCTCTCTAAAATCACAATTATAATAATTAATAATGTTTATTTATTTTAGTTTTAACTTTTATTCAAAACTGTGATGACCAGAGTTAAATTTTATTTGTTTTTTTTTTTTAGTCCATTCAATAAAAAGTAGACTATAGTTTATTAGTGAAAGGTTATATACGAAAACGACAACCGTAAAAAAATATTAACTAGACAAACGGGATCAAATTGAGTATGCAAAGTGAATAACTAATAAATAAATATTAAAAAAAACAGGTTAGGGTTGCAGTTCAGGTCAAACTAAAGAAGTGTTGTGCCTGGTGCAAAGGTAAGATGCGGAAATGTTAACTCGTCCTCGCCGCACTTAACCGTGCAGGTATCTTAATATTACTACAGATATATAAATACAAATTAAGGATTTATATTATTAAATTCCTCGATTTTACGAGTCTTAATAATAATCCAAATTACGATAAAACTAATCGTATAATAAATACCTTGTTGCCGGTTACATTTTATAATAATAATAAGTCAGAGTAAAATTTCCAACGGTACGCTTCTGTTTATAATAAGCAATGGAAGACTTTTATTTACTCGAAATCCTCTCGGAGATAACACAACGTCTTTTGATATTTTTTTCTAAACTAGATACATAAACACAGAGTTATACGAAATAAAAGGAAAAAACTTACCGTTTGAACGTCAGATCATTTCTAACTTAAATCCACGGTACCGACTCATCTCTTCTACACAACAAACTAACAATCCCTCAGGCAAATCCAACTAGTAGATACCATTTCGTTCCTATTGGTGAAGAACAACTTGACTCGGAGGGGGGTAGAAGATAAAGTTGGTGATTGCCCTCTTGCTAGACCGGTTTTGCGAATGCCGACTTATTTAACACAACTCGACTGTTGTTAGGTATTACTCACCTCAGCTGCTTCCTTACCGAGTTTGAAGTAGTTAACTAAATTCGTTCTAAACAGGTTCGACTATTAACTTATCGAATATTAAAAACTGCCTACAAGAAGCGATAATTTGCTGCTACTATTCTAACTACAAATCGATTTTTGTCAAAGTTCACGCTTTTCACAGTTAAAAATAATTATCTTTTTATTTATTTATTATTAGTATATCATTATCAAATATAATACATTTTAACATCCGTCTCTCTTAACAATTATAATGAATTATGATTTTAAATTCTGTATAAAATTATAATTTAAACGTATTAAATATCGTATAAATCTAATAAATAATAAGTGGTGTATTAATTATAAATTTGTACGCTTTTTTTATATCAAAATAAATAGTCAAAATCAACATCCGATTTTATTTTTATTTTGAAATCAATTTAAAATATAGTGTGTTCTCCCATTTTATTTATACCAATTAAATATATATACTGTACAGTACAGTGCCTATATAAACTTATATAAATTCAACTTATTAATATAATTTAAATGTAAAATACTTTTTATATTTTACATCACAGTATTTTAATAAGTAATACAGTTATAAATTTAACAAACTAATTTATATGCGAGACAAATTGTACGATGAGTATCAGTTCTTTGAAGATAGAATAGAATAGAATTGCAAATTTTTCACGATATTTATATTAAGAAAAGCGAATGTAATAAAATTTCTAAACATACAACAAGATTTTTATCGTACTATATCTCATTATTATTTATTTTTATCATTCAATCATCCGTAAAGCTCGTGATAAATTTATTAATATGTAGGTGAGTGTTTCAGTTAAGTTTCTATTCTGGTATAAAAGATGGAAGTTTCTTCTCTGTTTAATTAAATCAGAATAAAATACATGTTAAAACTAATATATTTAAATTGATATACATTGTTGTTTAGCTGTTATAACGTGTTAATGAAACTGATACTTGCAAGCTTCTACACCCGAACCCTTCAATTATATAGCCTAATATATAAAGAAGCCTATATACAACCTTACTATAATTATTCAATGTAATAACTTTAAACATATCGATACAGGGTTATATTGTTTACTAAATTCCAAAAATATCTCTGAAAAAAAGTTGCTACTTTAAAGTAATACAACGTCCTAATTTATTTATTTTTAAAATGAGTTTTTTTTTAGGCGCATTCTGAAGGTAAACTTATTGTTCTTCGATCGGAAAAATACGTTCTACTTTTTTAAAATTCTAATAAATTATATTAATTTTATTACGTTTTATCAATTGAAAGATACGAAATTATTTTAAATTATTTCGGTTTCCTCATAGACGATTCGTGTTTTTAATCGGTAGCAAATTATAGTGGAGATAACGAAAAGGAAAATGGCTTAACAATTCTTCATTAACGACTACATAAAAACTACACGAAACAGTTTTAATGGGAAGAAATTTTAAGGAAATTTTAAATTATATCCTCTGTTGAAGATGATGTTTATGACTATAAAGTAGAATTCAATCGTCATATATTCAAAATGTATGTTAAGAGCAATTATGCACCGAAAACGATCGACACTGCAGTTATCCTGTTCCGTGACCGAAACTAAAAACTTATTCTGTCTATGGGGTCTGTTATCTTCCGTTAACATTTGTACAGTTACGATTTCGTGACGTCATCGAACGAGATCCGTGTATGAAACCCATTGCATGACTACATTCCCATTCTCATAAGTAAAACAATGCAATTATTAATATTACTTAAGCATGGATGTAGATTGTCGAGATCTGCAACGACCGACGCATTTTCTATATATAGAGGTTTTTTAGTCCGTACTTGTATATTAAATTCTATGAGATATCGAACTTCTAGATATAATTTAGCGTAATTTAATGATTGTTTGCTCGGTCGAGCGTAACAAATGGTATTAATTAATTTAACCCGGATAAAAATCGAAGAGTTTAAATACTTATAACAAAAGGTTGTAATTTATTTTAACCATTGGAGGAAATTTTTATTTATTTAGTAACAACGAAGCTGTCGTCTAGTTATTTATTATAAGTGGTATTGAGGATATTGTTTTAAAAAATTAATATAACCGGATATATTTTAGCATACTGATCTATGTCTTAACCTTTTTACACGTGTAAAAAGGTTATAAGTGGGGCCCCAAAACACTTACAAAAAAGAATCTTTTTTTTTTTTTTAATAGAAAAATTATATAATTTTATTAAACATTAAATACATATAATTACATACTCGTCAAAGAATCGCAGGAAACAAAAACAAATTATATTGAGTGCGGGGCCCCCTCTCGTTCTAAGGCCCGAAAAAAACCCGACATCTGAGTCTGCCCTGTATTTATGATTCTATAGAGAATAATGTAATTATTTCACAAATAAAATTATCGTGATAGAAATTAAACTGCGTATCCGAAAATATACATGTAGTCCAATTATCATCATTAGGAGGGACGTCGGGGAAACAATTGTGCATCAAATGGGTTTTTGAAGCACATAAATAACGCACGTACATGTAAAATACGTATTTAAAGGAAAAGAAGTATTTTTTGTTACGCATTTTATTTATTTTTTAATTACTAGAAGGGAGTAAAAAAGCCCAATATGTCGTCAGTGAATACTCTTCTGTGTTTAGAATTATTATATTATTTTTTTTAAAGATAATTAGATAAAGCCAAATTCTAAAAAAACTTTATTGCGGATTCATTTAATAAAATGAACTTTTTCGAATGAGCCTACTTTATTTATAATAATCTATTTAAATACGATTGCATCATGCAAATTTATTTATTTATTTAATTCAACGCTCTTTCTCTAGAGTCGGTAGTAATTGATATAAAGAGATGATTCATAATATTTTCGGATGTTTAAAAATGATTATTTTTACCGCACAAGTACCAATGATTAATATGCGGTATGATTAGAATCAAGGTTAAAAAGTGACTCAGCCATTACGCTATTTAAATAGATACGTGGATGTAAGAGAGATTTTTCCACAGAAATTTCACTTAGGTTGAGAATGACATTGAAGTTTCGATTGAACTGAAATATTTTCGAATAATTCTACATGTTAAAAAAATCTCCACAAAAGTAAATCTGCTTTCACGGAGATTTCTTAACACGTAGAATTATTAAAGATTATTACCAGATTACTTAGAGATAACAAACAAGTTAGAATTTGTAAGCTTTTTCCACTATAAATAGTACACAAATCTTCAGTTCGGTAGACGGACTGAAACGACCATTCACGAGGTACCATGTGTCAAAAGCATCTTCTTGTGAAGCCGTGAAGTTTGAGTTACGATGCGAGATCGAACATCGAACACAAAAAATTGGATATTCTTTTTTAGAACGAGTGTGGAGATTCCTCTTTCAAGAGCTTTTGTTTTTGTATAGTCCAGGCTTAAAATATGTATTCGATTATTTATTTGCATTTATCTCTTGCATTAATTATAGAGAGGAAGAGCTAGAGATTTCTCCCGGGTCCAGAGAAAATTTACGTGTCCTACATTGATTTGAATTTTGTCTATAATTAATTTTTTTCTGAAGAAATTCTCATAATAGTAAGGTATCATTTATACATATTTATCGAAACTCAAAATGTCATAATTTTGGTCTCTGCAATAATAATATTGTACAATGTATATCGTCGTTGACACACGAAACTTGCCATTACAAATAAGTTTTCTCGTAGTTGTGTAGGATCTTGAGGTATGCGTGTTCTACAAAAATCTCGGAAACATTCGACCAGTAGAATTGTCTGTACTATTACTTGGAATAAGTTCGTGTATAATTTGGGCAGTCAGCATTGCTGAAGAAACCTAACAAATGACTAAAAACTCGAGTTTAGTCGGTGGTAAATCTAGGTAATTTACACCATTACAATTTATAATGAGCCTTCACGCTATTTTATGGTATATTAATTGTTTTTTGTTGCTCCTGTAAAATTTTATCTTGAGCGCTTAAGAGACTATCGCGTGTCAATGACGATGTGTATGATGTTAAGATATAAAATATGTGAGAATTCCATATATAAATATAGAATTTTTGAAGTCCAGTATTTGACGGCCTGATAGCTGTTGCGGTTAAGATGTCAGCCTGCAGCTTTGGAGATTTTCCAGGAATTTTCCCTCCCCTTGTGTGCCTAACAAGGCATTCTGGACACATCTGTGATGAGCACGGAGAAAAAAAAAGACCCACTTAGCCCAGAGCGGAGACAATCAAAAATGAAAAAAAATACTATAAGTATATGCGTGTTAATTCTATTTTTTAATCTAAAGCTGTAAAATTTCCGGATGATTTCTACTTTAGGGATGTGCGCGCTACTTTCTGTATTGATAAGAGTGTGAGATTAAAGAAAGTTTACCGACCACACTGCAAATAACGTTTTATAAATATTGATGTTTCAAAATTTAAGAAAATTAAACAAAGGAGTGGATGCCAAGGCTTTATTAAATGTACTGTAATTGTAATGATAGATGTCTACTTTTGCCTATTCACGTTACTATTGATAAAATGTAAATGCAGATGGAACTATTAAAAAAATAATAATATTGCAGATGAAAAATGCTGTATTGAAGCAAACACTCGCGTACGCACATCACCCAAGATTATTATGAAAACAGAACTTATACAAACTGAAATTTGCCTGAGAGTAATAAGACCATCCACAGATTGCCCAGTACATGTTGGTTTGCGTAAGATGACTACTGAAAAATTTGAAATTAAAAGTTATTTTGAACTTCTGTACTTTTGCTGGTAAAAAATAATAATGTAAAAATCATGTCTTTAAAAGAAATCACGTATTTGAATTTCAAAGGTATGACTCCTTTGTTAAAGGAAAAGTATGATGTACAGGGGCAAGCCACTACTAATTTGAGGTGGAGAGCGTAT